TTTGTCTTTTTCTTTTTTGGTACTGGGGATCGAACCCAGGATGTTGCACTTGCTAGGCAAGCGCTTTGCCACTGAGCTACATCCCAACCCTCTGGCTTTTTTCGGCTTATGTGATACTGAGGAATTGAACCCAGGGCCTCATGCATGAGAGGCAAGCACTAGAATTTTTTTTTAATGATTACACAAAATTGGTAATATGCTATTCGGTGACATGCCTAAAATGTGGGGATACAACATGAGTGAAAGAAAAAGGAGGGGAAAACTATCATGAAAATATTACAAAAACTAAACAAGTTCTAGGAGTTTGAAATACTAACTCTGATGATAAGATATGTCCGATAAGAATTAAAATATCCTGCTGATCACAACCTTATTGGGAAAGTCAAAGAAACACAAGTCTACTACTAGTCCATTCCATGTGTGCTTTCTATGAAGATACCTGTTATGAAAATAGAAGAGCACGCCCTCTGAAAAGACAGAAGTTCTGACTCACTTCTTCCTGCCAAATCCAGCTAGGCTCACTCAGTTTTGCCAACATCTGTGTAGAGCTAGCTACTTTGCCTATCAAATCCAAATTTGATAGACTTTGCCTATCAAATCCTAACCCCTAACTCAGACATACAACTGCAGTTACAACATTTATGAAATTTAAAACAGAAGCTGGGGGCTAGTGGCTAGTAGCTAGTAGCTATTCAGGAGGATGAGATCTGAGGACAATGGTTCAAAGCCAGCTTGGGCAGGAAAGTCCTAGAAGACTCTTATCTCCAATTAACCACCAGAAAACTGGAAGTGATACTGTGGCTCAAAGCGATAGAGCTCTAGCCTTGAGCAAAAGAGCTCAGGGACAGGGCCTGAGTTCAAGCCCACTGACCACCACCAACAACAACCAAAAAAAAAAAAAACAAAATCCTCAAAACCAGGATGAGCAGTCAAGAAGCACAAACACTTCTGTGTGTAATCCATGTTCTCCTTGATAGAGCATATGAAAGGGAGCGGCTGGCATTCTAGGGTATAGCATGCTCATAGACTTGCCTGAGGAAAAGCAGAGCCCCAGGGCACTCTCTGCTCTTGCTAACTAGATCAGAACACAAATGATAATAATAGGGAACAAACCAAATGATTGTCATGCTTCAGTACAACACAACTAGCAACTGTGTCCTTATGGGACATACCTCCCAACTACCCTGGTGCCACCACAAGTTTCAGCTGCACTTGATCTATTATGAATTGCTATTTCCTCCAATGGTGGGATTCCACCACACTCCCAAAGGACCACCCTAACTCTTCTGAGTCAGAAATCTACAGGTACCAGGTCAGCAACCTGCAGATGTAGCTGCACATTAAGACTAAGCCTAGATCTTTCCCCTTCAAAATTCAGATTTCACTGTTTTGAGGAAGGTCCTTGGCATCTACCTTAAAAAAAAAATCTCCAGAGGGCTGCAGTCTCCATTTCTCTGGCTTCCCATTTTGGCTTGCTGTCATCTAGGTGTGAAAAATTCCCCTCCTAACTAGACTCAAATGACAGGGTATGTGTGCAAGTATTTGTTGAAAAACTCTCTATTTACTGTGCTATCATGAAAGGGCTCTGGCTCTTCCTTCTTCCTCAAGTCAGTGCTACAACTACCAGAAAGAAAGGTGTAGGTAAATTATTATTATTATAGAGGACACAAAGGCTCAAGGATGTAGGGCCAATGTCTCAAAATGTCTCTTTATTGGTCTGGTCCTGTGGGAGGATGCAGGCAGTGCTATCTATCCTTGCCAAATCAAGTGGTCCTTTTGTTGTTCCCAACGCCTTACTTCTCATAATAAGTTCATGCATTGTAGAGCAAAGACTGTTAAACATGTGTGGGCTCCAGGTGTGGTAGTATATGCCTACAATCCTAGCACTTAGGAGTCTGAGGCAGGAGGACCAAACGTTCAAGTCCAGCCTAGGCTACATAGGGAGTTCCAGGCCAGAGAAACCTTGTCGTGAAAAAAATGAAAGAAAAAAAACAAGTGGGCCTATGTGCATACTCATGTTTTCTAAAACCTACTTCTATACTTGGGAAAGTCTAGACAGATACACAACAAAATGTTAATAATGGGTTTCCCCAGGTGGTGAGGTGATCCCTTTTTCTTTCTTCTCTGTACATACTAAAATTTCAAAACAAAAAGAAAAAACTTTCATAATTAAAGCAGCCAGGCACTGGTGGCTCATGCCTATAATCTTAGCTACTCGGGAGGCTGAGATCTGAGGATTGTGGTTCAAAGCCGGCCCTGGTAGGAAAGTCCGAGAGACTCTTATCTCCAATTAACACCAGAAAACCAGAAGTGGCATAGTGGCTCAAGTGGTAGAGAGCTCACCTTGAGCTGAAGAGCTGAGGGACAGCACCAGGCCCATTGTTCAAGCCACACAACAGATCAAAATGAAACAAAACATAATTAAAGCAAACAAGTAATTGTCCCCACTCAAAAAAAGAGGAATAGATAAAAAAAAAAGATCTGAATGGTACAGTAGCTCTGTCCCAGATCTACTACGTAATCTGGGATAGGAGGATGGGGGGGTGCCTCTGGTTTGACTGCAAGCCCCCCAGGGCCCTTCCTGTGTTCTCTCACTACCACTCTGCTTATTCACTGGACTCCTAGGGAGCCCCACTCACACACTGTGAACTTATGACCCCCCATCCTAGATTCTCAGGCTGACCACAGCAACTATGAGTAACAACTCAGCCCTGCAGGAACACCAACAGATCTCTCCTGTCTGTGTTTTCACTTTCTATAGTTTCAGTTAACCAGTCAATCATAGTCCAAAAATATTACATGGGAAATTCCAGAAATAAGCAACTTATAACTTGTGTGCTATCCTGAGTAGCACCTAATATGTCATCCCTCTGGGGACATGAACCATTTCTTTGCCCAGTGTATCCACTTTGTATAAACTACCCCCCTGTTAGTCACTTAGCAGTGATTGGTCGTCATGACGTCACAGTGCTCAGTACACAGAAGGCTCAGGAAGATCAGAGGCCTGAGCAATCTACGGAGGATCTGGGAGCGTGTCCTTTACAGTGGGATATAATAATAATAATAAAATAAAATAATAATAAAAGTGAGATTTAGCCAGTGTGCCTCAAAGCATATCCCATCTGACACTCACATAGCTCAAGCTCAGGCTGTGTAAGAATAACATTCAACAAGCCCTGCTACAGGAATTAAGAGGCTGGGGCATTCACATGCCCATCATGCTGGGTTGGGATTAACTTCCCAGGGTCAATGCAATAGCAGGATCTATTCGCAAATCCTGATGGGACACAAGGCAGCTTCATTGCCATGGAGACAGGATACCATAAGCTCCACAGGTCATCCACTGCGTTTCAAAGAGATATTCACAACCTCCAACAATAAAGGAAGTTGGACCCGGAAAAGAAAATCTTTATGACCAATCCCTCCATGATTCTCAAAGAGCAGTCTCCTGAGTCTGTTCTTGGCAACAGGGAAAGGAGAAAATGCTAATGAGTACACAATGTGCTCCCAAGTGTTGCTGTTTTATTCATTTCTACCTTGTAGAAATGAGTGCTCTTAGCTTTTGCGCTCAAGGGTAGCACTCTGCTACTTGAAGCTTCCACTTCCAGCTTTTGGTGGTTAATTGGAGATAAGAGTCTCATAGACTTTCCTGCCCACGCTGGTTTAGTAAGACAATTCTCAGATCTCTGTCTCCTGAGTAGCTAGGATTACAGATGTGAGCCCCCAGTGCTTGGCTTCCTATCTTGTTTTCTTTCAGCCTTTATGTAATGTGTGGAGATTGACTTTTATGATTTCCCTCATTTACAGATAGGAAACTGAGGCTTGGAGGGACTAAGGCAATTGTCTGAGATCACAGAATGATTGAGCAAAAGATCCAGAATTTGATCTTACAGACAGGGGGCTACACTTGACCTGAAAGCTCCCCCAATCCCTGGCTTCAGTGAGCACTTCTGGGGCTTCAGGGATACATTGAGCCATTTGGCAGATGTAAGGAAACTGCTGCCAATCCCAACAAAGTTTTATACACACACACACACACACACACACACACAGCTTAACAGTGGAAAAAGTCTCAAGCAGAAAGCAAGGAATGAAAAGGAGATCTAAAAAGAGGAAGCACGTTCAGACCCACCTAAACGTTACCTGAGATCTCCATGGTCCCATGGGGGAAGGGAGGCACGGCCTCCCCCAAAGCCTGTCCCACCCACCCCTACCACCACCTTCTAGTGAGTCAAGTCACCTGTCCCCTCTGAATCCATTCCCACGCCTGTAAAGCAGGCAAGGCATGAAGGGCAGAAGGTGGCAGGTGCCTGACGCTTACAGTAGGGCTGTCCCTCTGGCAATGGTGGGGCCCCTTTGAGCCCTCTTTTTCAGATGAAAAGGCTGGACCCCAAGAAGCCCCAAGCAAAGGTGGCAGCCACCTGGCATTCCTCAGAAGCCATCACCTAGGCAGGCAGGCAGGCAAGGGCACAACCTGTCTAACCAGCAACTCCAACAGGAACGTAGGCATCGGACCATAGTGGCTCCAGTTCCCTCCCGCACCACCCACGGGAGGGAGCCAGGCAGGAGCCAGGCCAAGGCAGCCCTTGCCACCTCCCTCCACCCAAAGCTGGAAATCCAACAAGGCCTCCGGGCCTCTGCCTTGACCTTTCTGCCACTTTTACCTGCCCTGCTGGCTTCAGCCCCACCTGCTCAATCCGCGGGCCAGGGCGCACCCGGATGAATGAATGGGACCTGCCCATGGGCCGGGCCAGCACAGCGAAGCTGCACTGTGCGCCCCCAGAGGGGCGGGGGTCGGGTCTCACCTTACCCCTTGCTCGGTCTGCTTAACCCCAGGCCACCTTTTTCAGAGTAACAACCCCGAGACCATCAGGTTTAACAGGCTCGTCCGTCTCAGTCTTTTCCCGCCTCCCTGCCCGAGGCGCGGCGTTCTCGCCCCCACCCCCCACCCGCATCCGACCCTACAGGTGGACGCCCGAGGCCCGGCGCGGGAGACTCACAGCGGGTTCCAGCGCTCGGGCAGGCGGCGGTGCAGCGAGATGCGGTCGCTGAGGTAGGTGTTGATCTGGTGCAGCTGAATGCTTTCCTGCTGCAGCCGCAACTCCACGCCCTCCAGCGGCAGCCGCACCGCCTCGCCCCGCGCGCCCAGCGCGTCCTCCGACAGCTCCGGGCGCGGCAGCACCGGCTCGCGGCGGCCGGAGCGCGGGGGACGCGGGGTGCTCGGGGATCCCGGCTGAGCAGTCCCGGCCCCGCGTCGCGTCCGCAGCACCGCCCCCAAGCCGGCCAACGCCAACAGGGCCAGCAGGGCCAGCAGCGCCTCCCGCCCGCGCCGCAGCCCCCGCGGGCAGCGCCGCCGCGCCGCGCGCCCCCACATGCGCCCGCCAGCTGCGCCCGCGGCCGCTGCGCGCCCCGCGGCGGCGAGGGCGGCCGAGGCCCGACCCGGATCCCGGAACCGCGCGCCGCCCGCCAGGCCCCGCCCTCCGGCCCGCCCCGCCCCACCTGCGCGCCGCCCCCTTTCCCGGCCGCGGCGGCGGGCTCGCAGCACGCCCACCTGCAGAGCGCGGATGGGGGGGTGCCCGTGGTCCCCGCCTGCGCCCCAGGCCGCCCTCCCGCCCGGCTGGGAAGGGGGAATAGGGGAGGCAGTGGGGATGGCGGGGCCCGGCCTGCGCGTCGCCAGCGCGCGGTGATGGCCACGGGGTGCGTCCGGCGGGAACAGGCGGACTTTCCGGCCTCAACTCCGGCGCGCTCTTTACGCGGTCCCAGGTCTCATCGATCCATCTAGCTGCGGAGCCTGCGGCGCCCTGGGCCGGCCTCGCTCGCCTCGTGCGGGCCCACCCTCCGCCGCGCAGACCCGCCCCGGGCTCCCGCGGCCGCTCCTGGGCCGCGTGTCTCTCCCTTCACTTTTTTAGGAACACCTCCAAGAATCTGATCACAAGAACAGTCGCAGCCTGTGTCCACGCGTAGGGGACTGCACACGTCCCACGCCATCCAGTGCTGTCCATCACTTCAGGCCTTGAACTAAAGAGATGTCCTTTATCTGGGAGAAGAGAGGCCACCAAAGGCCAGAGAGAGCTGCTCGGGTACTGAACAGGAACAAGACTATCCTGAGAGATGAGGTTCTCTCCTAAGGACAAAACATAAGGTGGCCAGTAATCAAAATGTAAAGTAGAAGCAGGGCCCCGTGGCACAGGGTTGTAATCCTAGCTACTCAGGAGGCTGATGTCTGAGGATTGCAGTTTGAAGCCAGCCCGGGGTTAGCTCCAATTAACCACCAAAAAGCTGAAGCCAGAAGTGAGCAAAAAAGCTAAGGCAAAGCTCTCAGTCCCTGAGTTCAAGCCCCAGTACCAACAGAGAGAGAGAGAATCAGCAATCAAAATATAAGATAAGTGATCATCAAGAAGTACTCAGTAATCAAGATCTCCAGCTAGGGGGAGGCATGGCATCAGCACCCAGGGCCCTTGTACAGGTGAAGCTGTATTCCTTCAGCGACAAATGCTCTTGCCTGCCTGGCAAACCCCTAGTCCTTCTATAGCCTTCTGTTGGCCTTTTAGGAGAATATATTACATCATCCCTTTGTATGTTAGTCAAGATTCAGCTGGAGAAAGAACCAGGAAGATCATATGAAGGCATTTATAGCTGGGACTGTATCCCAAGCGGCTCAGGCAGTGGAGGCAGGATGGTCAGTTTGAGGCCAGTATGGACAAAATCATCAAGACTCTGTCTCAAAAGCAAATGGAGGTGAGGCATTAATGGCTCATGTCTATAATCCCAGCTACATAGGAGACAGAGAATGAGAGGGTCAAGCTTCCAGGCCAGCCGAGGCAGAAAAATTTGTAAGACCCTTCTCAATCCATGGCTGGGTGCTGTTCTGCATGCCCATCATCCCAGTCTACATGGAACACTAAGTTCTGAAGGGTCATGATTCTAGGCCAGCCTTGAAGAAAAGTCTGTGACACTGAGTCTCAAGATCTCAAAGGAACCTGCTGGGTTTGGTGTCCTGCCTGTCATCCCAGGTACTGAGGCAATGTAGATCTGGGAGGAAGTGAGACCTTATCTCAAAAATAAGCAAAAAGTGCCTGAGTTGTGACTTGACTGATAGAGTGCCTGCCAAGCATATTAGAAGGCCAGAGTTCAAATCCTAGTATAAGGAAAGAAAGGAAGGAAGGAAAAAATAGAAAGGGATGGTGGGAAGGAAGAAGGAAGGAAGGAGGGAGGGAAGAAGAGGAAAAGGAAAGAAAAAGAGGCTAAGGGCACAATTCAGGTGGTAGAGCACTTGTTTAACATATGCAAAGCCCTGGATTCAATTTTGTGTGTGTGTGTGTCTGGTCGTGGGGCCTGAACTCTGTGCCTGGGCGCTGTCCCTCAGCTCTTCAGCTCAAGGCTAGCGCTCTACCACTTGAGCCACAGCGCCACTTCCGGCTTTTTTCTTTTTGCTTATGTGGTGCTGAGGAATCGAACCCAGGGCCTCAGGCATGCAAGGCAAGCGCTCTACCACTGAGCCAACTTCCTAGCCCTGGATTCAATTTTTTTAAGACATTTATTACAAGGAATGACTGTGGGAGCCTGAGATCCAGGGGAAGGCCTCCAGGAAAAGCCAGCTAGAACTCCTGGCATCATCTCAAGCTAGAGTCCACAAGCAAAATACCTTCTTCAATGTATCCTTGGTTCTGCCTTTCTGGCCTTTCAACTGATTGAATCAGGTCCATCAGATCCTATCTTTAAAGTGAACTGACTATAATGTCAATCACAGCCACAAAATAGATTGACAGCAATACCAGGGGTTTGTAGTTAATTGGTTGACTATTTTAGCCTAGACAAAATCAACCATTTCTATTAGTTTCTCCCAGGATTATTGTAACAACATATCAACCCCAGACTGGGATCCTTAAGCGAGAAATTGCAGAGCTGGTGGTTCACACCTGTAATCATAGCTACTTGGGAGACTGAGCATGGGGGGATCAAGGTTCAAGACCAGGAAAATTTATGAGACTCCCTTCTCAATCCATAGCTGAGCACAGTGGTATACACCTTCCTCCCAATCTATGTGGGAGGCTGAGATTGGGAGGATTGAAGTGCCAGGCCAACCTGGCAGAGAAATCCTTGAGGCTCTGTCTCCACGGAAGGGAAGTGGGGGGCCGTGGCCTCATCTGTGATCCCAACAATGATGCAAGGCAAGCATGTGCCCCCAGTGGGAACTGACATCCTATCTTAAAACTAACCAGTGAAAAACAGGGTTCAAGGCATGGCTCAGTAATATTGCACTAGCCTAGCAAACATTAGACCCTGAGTTTAAACCCCTAGAATGCAACAAAACAACAACAAAAACTGGCAATAATTTCTCCCTGTTTTAAGGCTAGCATCCCGAGATCAAGGTGTCCACAGAACCATGTTCCCTTGAAGGCTAGTAGGAGTGTTCTGATGTTGCGGGTGCTCTCTGGCATTCTTTGACTAGTAGGTGTCTCACTCCCATCTCTGCCTCCATTGTCATATGGGTCTTTCCCAGGGTTTGTCTGTCTGTCTCCACATTTCTCTTAACTCTTCTAAAAAGGAGTCCTGTTGGATTTGGACCCATTCTAATGACCTTATTTTAACTTGATTAGATTAACCTAATTCAAAAAGAAAAAAGAAAAAGATTACATTCACTAGAATGAAGGAGCCCGACTCCAATAAACATTTTCCAGAAAAGGAGGTGACAGTTCAGTCCTTGCCACCATCAGACATTGCTTTGGCATTCAATTCACTGGACCGTGGTTCATTCATAACCTGCTCTTATAGCAGAAAGAACTGAGGGACTTAGAATATGAACTGTGGCCACTTACAGATCCTAGAGCTTGGTACTGAGTTAACTACATGTGGGTGCTCAGTGAGTGCCTGGTTGGGCATCGCACACTCAACTTCCATGGGTGTCTGCCTGAACTCACTAGGAGAGACTCCAATTTCAAGTGTGGGGAGGAGTCGCTCGCAGTGCAGAACAAACACGAGTTCTTAGGGTCTTGTTGCAGAAAGGCCTCCTTGGCAACCTAATCTGGGAGTTTTCAGAATCAGCTCCCAAGAATCCCTGGGAAAGGTCTCGGAAAGTCAAGAGAGGCTGCCTGGGTGGGGCTCCAGCTCTCTTCCCTGAAACCAGAGAGTTGACATGCCTAGCTCACACCTTACACTTCCTTATTAGACTATAATAACCTCCACCCAGAGTCTGGTAACATGGAGCTAGGTCAAAAGAGTGTGTTGTTCAGAACCACAGCTGCTGGGGGCAGAAGAGGAAGTAGAAAGGAGTGAAAAGATATGACAGTAACTGCTGAATGTCTGCCAATATCCATCCTCCTCTTCGTCCTTAATAGCACAGCTTTTCATTATTTTGGGGCAGGGTCTTCACTGTGTTGCTCAAGCTAGTCTTGAGTTACTGAATTCAAAGGATCCTCTCGTGTCAGCCTTTCCAGTAGCTGGACTACCAGCACACACTACAGCATCATCATGCCTACCTTGGAACTTTTGTTTATATATTTTTTTGTTTCAGTGGACAGAATAAAGATTAGATTTCCAGGCTTCCTTTGCAGCTAGGTATGGTCACATGACTAGGTGTGCCATCTATGGGCTACAAGTGGTGGTGTCAGTAGCTGCCATAATCACAGTTTGCTTTCTTTGTTCACTTACTCATTGTCAAACACAGTCTTTGAATGGAAGGAGCCACTGTTACAGCTCCCGACAGCATGAATGGAGAACAGTGCCCTTCCGTGGTCAAACTCCAGACTGCAGAATCCACAAACATTTTAAGATGGTAGTTGTTTTACACAGTGAAATTTCTCAGGCAAGAAATACATAGTGAACATCTACTATCCCCCAAGCACCATGATAGGGTCTAGACACTTCTTGTAAGAAGTAAGAGGTAAAGGCAAGATAATGATAATAATAGCTTTGCTAGGAGGTATCGATGGCTCATGCCTGAAATCCTAGTTACTCAGGAGGTTGAGATCTGAGGAACATGATTTGAAGCCAGCCTAGGTAGAAAAGTCTATCTGGAAGTGGAGCTGTGGCTCAGAAGGTAGAGTACTAGCCTTGAGTGAAAAGCTAAGGGACAGTGAGTTTGAGCCTTGAGTCTGGCCCTGAGTTTAAGCCCCAGTACTCACCAAATAATCATGTTAATTAATGATGTCGATGACGATGATGATAACAGTAGCAAGAAGCAAAGAGCAGGAAAGTTAGAAGCCAAAGTAGAAAGCACACTTAAATGAATCATGCACTGTGGCAGCAGAGGGGAAGGGGAAGTGTGGACAGAGCATTATAAAAGGGAATGAGGGAGAGCAGGACTCAGAAAAGTCAGGGAGGAAGAATTTGTGGTTGGGAACTCTTTGTTAATATGGCTTGATTCAGTGTTGG